CACACCCAGCCTTTTTTTCCTGATTGTTGAAACTGGCTTCCATTTTCCCCAGGGATCAAGGATATTATAGGGTTCCCAGTTCTCATAAGTAGGGGTTACAAGAAAAGAAAAGCTTGGGGCAAATATGCCAGCGGCAAGTCCAGGAGCCTTTGTTAAGCACATGGAATTAAGAGTTGGGATTAGATCTGAAATCTGGGATTGAATTTTACAGATAACATTAGGATTAGGATCAAGATTGAGGTTAGCATTTGGACACTGGGTCTAATACCAGGTTTGAATGAGTTATAGTGGTGAAAGGCTTTAAAGCTGAGTTAGGGAGTTGTTGGGGTAAGGGTTAGAACCAGAAGGAGGCTCATCTGCTTTCTCTCAGGTCCCCAAGGTCCCTTTGTGGTTGCTTTTTAGGGTTAAGAAAGGCCTCGGACTCTTGGCAGGAATGCAGCACTGTGTGGTCCTGTCCTTGAGTCACACGAGGCCTGTTCCTACGCAATCTCAGCTGCTATCTCAAGAGCTCTGGCTGCCGAGGCAGTATTATTCTTCCCTAGCCCCTACTGAGCATGTTAGATGGCTCCTTTTGGGCCAATAGTGAAGGCAAAGTACTCCCAAGAGCCACATCCAGGTTCATCTGGAACGTAAGCCACACTAGCAAATAGTCAAGACAATTCTGACAAAAGCACTTCTGTCAATTACCTCACACTTTGGCCCCCTAATCTGATGACATCCTGAAATGTTATGTCTTGTCTGAGCTTTCATCCAACGAAGTGGGCATTTTATAGGAAATGCATCAAGGGCTCTTCAGATAGAGACCTTGGGAACTCAGAATGAAGAGTTAGAAGCAGTTGAACACTGGGTCTTATTTCATCTAAGTACAGTGTAGCCAAAAAGTTACCAGTGACTTTGTCTTCTAGGGAGGATGGGTTGGTGTTTCAGCCCTGCAGGGTAGTTCCATTAAGATGCCTATCCATATCTAGGTCTCACTTTTTAAAAAGTCTGTAGTACTGGAGATTGATCCTAGGGCCTTGCACATGCTAGGCAAGCACTCCACCACTGACCATGCCCTCAGTCCTTCACTGATGGATGCTAAGTAGGTGATCCACCATTGAGCCACACTCTCAGCTCCTCACTGGTGAATTTTAGGCAAGGGCTCTCTCTACCACTGAGCCATGCCTCCGGCCCCTCACTGGTGGAGTCTAGGCAAGTATTCTATCACTGAGCAACAGCCTCCCTACCCCTTTTTTATAATTAAAATTTTATTATTTTTATGTATATGAGTGTATTGCCTGCATGTATGTGAGTGCACCCGTGTCGTGCAATGCTGAGGTCAGAAGAGGGCTTCAGGTTCCCCTGGAACTGGAGTTAAGGATAGTTTGTAGCTGCCATGTGGGTGCTGGGGATCGAACCTGGGTCCTTTGCAAGAGCAGTCAGTGCTCTTAACCGCTGAGCCATCTCTCCAGCCCTCCTACCCCTTTTACTTAAAAAAAAATTCATTTTTAAATATGTATTTTTGTGCGTATGCGGGTATGTACAAAGTGCAGATATCTGTGGAGGTTAAAAAAAAATGTCGGATTCCCTGGAGCTGGAATGGCAATTGTGAGCCATCCATTGTGGGTGTTGGGAACCAAACATGAGTTCTCTGCAACAGCTATGTAGGATTATGAAGTGTGGGTGGGGCTGTCAATGAATGTTTCTTTGAGGGACAGTGGCTTAAATTAAAGCCTGGGATGGTTTAAGTTCGAGCCAGTCTTGGAAAACCCTTGATCCTGTTCATTGCTTTTTGTGCTTTTGAACGTCAAGCTGTATTTTATTCCTTTATGTTTGATCTGGACACCTTTCAGCACCTTTGCTAAGAACACACAGCCTCTATGGATGGGTCTGGCTCATGTTGACATCATGAAAACCCTGACTACACTTTGCTCTACTGGTAGATGAAATAGGACCAAGAGTTGACAGCTGGACATAAATTGGACCAATCAGTTTCTCCTCTTTGGGAACTGGAATCTATGGATGCTAATTAGTCTTTGTGCTTGACATGAAAGTGAGCTTAGACTGTTTGCAGAGAAGAACTGAAAGTTGGTCTTGGAGAGAACAGAGATGGAGGAATGTGACCAGAGAGAAAACGATTTGAAGGAGTAGCCCACTGATGCTGCATGCTTTGCAGGATCTTTTCTTTAAAAAAATTATTAATTTATTTACTTATTACTTGTGTGGATGTGTGTGTGTGTGTGTGTGTGTGTGTGTGTGTCTGTGTGCGCATGCCACAGTCACATGTGGAAGTCAAGAGAACAAGTTGCTGTCTCTCTTTCCACAGGTGGGTCCTGGACCAAGCTCAGGTCGTTAGGCTTGGCAGTAAGCACCTTTACTCTCTGTGTCATGGTGCCAGCCCAAGATCTTGCTTTCTGTACCTTTAAGTTCTATATGGCTTTATGTATACACAGACACACAGACACACAACTTTGCATCAAGAAATTTGACTGTTGTTACTTGCAGAGAAAATGCTCTTGTCTAGGACTGAAGTTTTTGTTTTTAGGTATATGAGTGTATTGCCTGCATGTATGTAAGTGCACCTGTGTCATGCGAAGCCCACAGAGGTCAGAAAAGGGCTTTGGAACTGTAGTTACATGGTTGTTAGCTGCCACGTGGGAATCAAACCTGAGTCTTCTGCTAGAATAGTCAGTGAGTGCTTAACTGCTGTCATCTCTCTAGCCCCCTAGGACTGGATTTTTATCAGTTAACTTTGCTATAAATTTCTTTTTTGAGACTAGGTCTCACTGTGTATCCCTGGCTGGCCTGGAACTTGCTATGCTGACCAGATTGTCCTTGAACTCACATTCGCCTGCTTGCCAGCCCCAATTTTGGTCATTTGGAGACAGTTTTGTAGGAAAAGAAAGTGGAGAAATTTCCTGGGTTGTCCTATAATGGAGATTCCATGGGCTTAGAAGGGCCCCACTCTCCTGTGGCAGAGTTGGAGGGTATGAAGAGGTGATAGGTGGGTCCTGGGCCAGAGGGGCAGTTGGGGCAGAGGGGAATAGGAAGAACAGAAGAACAGGTATGTCAGAAAGCAAGGTGTATTTGAGAATGGCAACTAGAGGGTGGCTTGCAGGGTATATGACAGAGTAGCAAATGAGCCTGAGATGGCTGGCTTTGGCATCACATGACTTGCTTTTTCTAATCACTACCTTCGCCATCATTTGCACCACTGTGAGGATGCTAAACTAAATGTGATCTCTGCCTTTTAGAAGCTGAAAGCCCCCCCCCCCCAAAAAAAATCAGTGTTAACAGATCGAGAGAATGCACCAACAGAAATATAATCTGGCATATAAAGAAAAGTAATATTTGATAATGAAATTCATCTAAGAATCACCCTCTGATGCTGTATACCCTTGGGGTTGGGAGGGTATATGGCAGCTCCTCCTAAAAGTCTTGAAGCCTTCCTAGAAGTGAGCCCTTAGGTCTTGGTGGAAGTTTCCTTTGTATGGAAAGTGGTCATTAGCAATGGGCTATCTTGCTCACCATAGGCTAGAGAACAGGAAGAATTCAGGGTTATGGTTGGGGAATATTAAACGACTCTTGTAGTGGCTCCAATTTCTTTGGTCATTTATTAATTTCCATCACGGATGCTGTCAAATCTCTCCATTTTCCCTCACCAAAACAAACACGTCCACTCCAGGGAGAAGGCAGGTTCTTCACGTCAAGGCATTGGGAGTGGACTTGGGGATCTGAAGTTGGGGTGAAAAACAACCAAGGCCAGGAGTCATGGCACACGTCTTTAACCCCAGCACTGGGGAGGCAGAGGCAGTCAGATCTCTGTGAGTTCAAGTCCAGTGTGGTCTACACAGTGAATTCCAGGCCTGCTGAGGCTACAGGGAGACTCTTAACAAGAAGATTAAAAAAAAAAAAGACCAAGATCAAGACCGCTCCATGCCCAACTTGCTGTTCAGAGATGTACTACACATTTTCCAGAAATAATTCAGTAATGCCAGGAAGGGGCCATTTTCCGGGTGGATATGGGAAGAGTGGGAAGGAACTAGGGGACTAGGAAGTGAAGATTCTCAGAGGACCAGCAGTTTGGGGAGAAACGCTCCACTGCATCACTGGAGGGCATGATCCGGGCCCTGGTGGACCAGATCAGAGGGCGGTAGAGATTAGCGCAGGGAACATCCCCAGCACTTCCGGATTTGGAAACGCTCCACCCCGCTGGCCGGACCCGCTTCCAGGTCTCCAGGCGCATGCGCCACCGCTCTGGAACGGGCCCAATTTACCCTAAACAACTAATCCCCCCCCACCTCCCGCTTGGGGCATATCATTTCTTTTTTTTTCCCTCTGGGGCGGGGAAGCAACGCGCCCCACAAGACTCTGAAACGTGCTCCCCTGCCTCAGACCACAGTGCTGGTTTATTAAAGTTCCCGGAACCCGAAGGCCTCAGGATCGCCCGCTCGATGCGCTCGGCACTCCGCGCCTCGGAGGCACGGAACAAAGTGGCACGCCCGGATCCCAGCTGATCAGCCTGCTGGGGCTTCCGCGGCGGCTCCCCCGGGCGATACCATCGCGCCTCCTCCAGAGGGGTGTCCGCCGAGGGGAGGGGGCGGAGCGGCCATTGTCCGGTCAGCGCAGCTGGGGGGGAGGGGAGGGGGTTCCGGAGCCTAGCCGAGCCTGCCCCCCCCCC